AATGTTTCTCCTAGTGGGAAGTTAGTTCTCACCACTATCATATGATTCAGAAAGTATGGCCTCAATTTTTTGGCCGTTACCACGAGTGTTAAGGCCGCCTTCTCGACCTTGGGATATCTCGTCTCTGCCCCTTGGAGTACCCGGCTTGTGTAATAAATCGGCTGCTGGGAACTCTCTTCTTCTCGCAATAGTACCAAACTCAGTGAGACTTCTCCCACCGAGATGTACAACACCAACTCGTCCCCTGGCTCAGGCTTGGTCAGCAGGGGCAACTCGCTCAAAATCTCCTTCAATTTCTCAAAGGCCATCTGTGCCTCGTCACTCCACTGGAAAGTCGTCTTCTTCTTGAGCAATTTAAAGAAAGGAAAACTCTTCTCGGCTGCTCGAGCAATGAATCTGCTCAATCCTGCGATTCTTCCCGTCAAGACCTGTACTTCTCTTAGGTTTCGCGGTGGTGCCATGTCGAGTATGGCCTTCACCTTCTCCTTGTTCACCTCAATTCCTTGCTCTGTGACAACATATCCCAGAAATCGCCCCGCTTTTACTCCAAAGGCACATTTGCTTGGGTTCAACTTCATCCCAAACGTTCTAAGGGTGTTGAATGTTTCCCTTAAATCGTCTGGGTGCGAAGTCGAGGACTTGCTTTTCACCAGAATGTCATCGACATAGACTTCCATATTCCGTCCAATTTGGGTTTTGAACATGCGATCCATCAATCGTTGGTAGGTTGCTCCTACATTCTTGAGTCCAAAAGGCATGACGACATAGCAATATGTCCCCTTGCTCGTCACAAAACTCACTTTACTTTGATCCTCCGGGGCCAAGGGAATTTGGTGGTACCCTTGGGATGCGTCCGTCTTGCTCAGCAACTCGCAACCAGCTGTGGAGTCGACTAGCTGATCGATTCTTGGCAAAGGATAATGGTCTTTTGGGCATGTCAGGTTCAAGTCACGAAAGTCGATGCACATACGCCATTTGTTCAGTGCTTTCTTCACCATTACTGTGTTAGATATCCACTCAGGGAATTGGATCTCTTTGATGTGTTTGGCTTTCAGCAACTTATCCTCCTCAACTTCAATTGCTTTGTCGATTTCAGCTCCATAATGCCTGAGTCGCTGCTTCACCGGCTTTCTGAAGGGGTCGACATTGAGTTTGTGTTCCATGACTTCTGGGTCGATTCCTGTCAGCTCTTCAGGGGAAAAAGCAAAGATGTCCCTGAGTTCCTTCAGCAACTCCACCAATTGTTTTCGTAATTCGTCCTCCAACTCTCTCCCAACTTTTGTTGTTTGGTCCTCCCTCTCTCCGATTGGGATTTCCATTAACTCTCCATGGACTCGAGATCACTTCCTCTCGGCCTCTTCTCGCTCGACATTGGCTTCTTTTCTTCTTTAATTTCGGCTCGTTGATTAGTTTTGTTTGCGATTTGGTAACATGTTCTCGACAGCTTCTGGTCCCCTCGAGCCTCTCCTACTCGATCTTCAACGGGGAATTTCAGCTTCATGTGGTATGTCGACACTACTGCTTGGAAAGCATTGAGCGTTGGCCTACCAAGGATCACATTGTAAGCCGACTCGACGTCGACAACTACAAATCTCACCATCTTCACCTTCCTTAAGTCACCTTCCCCTAAAACGACCGCGAGCATGGTTTCTCCTAGGGGAGCGACTTCCGATCCATTGAATCCAAAGAGTGACGTCTGTAAAGGTGTAAGTTCAATGTCGAGTTCCATCCTTTTGAGACATTCATAGAAAATCATGTTCACTGAGCTTCATGTGTCGACAAACACCCTTTGCACCTCGTACCCCGATATCTGTGCAGTTATCATTAAAGCATCATTGTGTGGTCTCTCGACTTCCCTCACGTCAGCAGGCCCGAAGTTCATCACTGGTCCGCTCTCATTGACCTGCTGCACCTCGACTTTAGCATATCGACCTCGAGCATATGCCTTCCTCGCTCGATTGGAATCTCCATCTGTCGACCCTCCAAAAATCATGTTAATTACTCCTCTTTTCGGTGGGAGTTCCTCCTTCTCTGGTGATCTTGCCCTCTTGCGAGGGCTTTTGCTTCTTTCTCTCCTCCTGCTCGACCTCTCGCGGTCTTTGTATATGAACTCCTTCAAGTGACCTGCCTTTATCAGCCTCTCGATTTTGTCTTTAAGATGTCTGCAATCACCAGTGTTGTGCCCATAATCTTTGTGGAATCGACAGTACAAGTTACTTTTGGGATTCATTGGCCCATCCTTTCTCGTCCTTGGCCACCTCACGACATCGTCTCTGATCTCCCTTTCCATCACTTCTAGAATCCTCGCGTGAGGAGCCGACAGGGGTGTGTATTGAATCGGCCTCCATCCTCTAGATCGTCCCTCACCCCTGTCAGCTCGTGGTGATCCTCTCCTTTCCCCAGTCAAATGAGTCTTCTTCTTCTTCTTGTCATCTCGACTTTCGGTCTGGGACATCTTTATACTTTGCATGTAGTCGATTTCCGCTTCTTCGACATTCATGTATTTAGCACACCTTCCCAATACGTCGTCGAAGCTCCTACCAGGTCGCTTGGCCAAAGAATTCTTACACAACCTTGGTAGAAGTCCCCTCGTCAGTCCTCTCGATTTGATTTTCTCTATCGCCGTCGGGCACTCGGCACACGCCCTCGTAAACCTTGCCACATACTCTCGCAGCGACTCGCCCTTCTTCTGCTGCATACTGATCAACGAGAGGTAGGAATTCTCCTGCACCCTAACGCTTGCAAACTGATTTAGAAAGCTCGAGCTGAAACCATCAAAGTCCTTAATCGACCCAGCTGGTAATTGGTGGAACCAGTTCTGGGCCGACCCTGTCAGAGTCGTCAGGAAAGCGCGACACTGCACCGGGTCACTGTAGCGGTGAAGCACTGCCATGTTCTCAAAACTCCTCAGATGTCGAGACGGGTCAGTGGAGCCATCGTACCATATGTTCAGCTCCTCGACGCGGGGTTGTGTTTGTGTTTGCTCCGGCATCTTCTGGATCTGCTTCCCCGCACGTCAAGACATCTCCGTTGGTTCCTTCTCTTCAACATTCGGATTAGGGTTTTGACTTGTTCCTACTTGGGTCAACACTTACACCTTCATCTCGGGTGGAGTAATGGGCGTTTCTCCATTCAGATTCATCCCCGGCGGCAGAAGTCCCCCAAATGGCGGTAGTCCCAACATCTGCACCACCGGAGGTCGAGGGGTAGAGAGTGGTGGTGGTCTCCTGTCTGTCCAAGCTCCCCTGAACTCCTCATTCAAGTTCCTCTGCAAACCTTCCTTCTCAGCCATCAGAAACAGATCGGAGCTAGGTGCAAAGCTCTTGTTTCCCTTAAGAACTCCCCACAGACGGAGCCAATATGATGGGTCTACTCTCAGATCTGGAGTGAACCGGTGGTAAGGAGCTCAGATCTGTTTGAATCGCCTTCGAACCGTTGCTAGACCGCGAGAATACCTGCAAAAACTCAACGCCGGAGGTGTTTCTGGCGTAGAGCCTCCGACGCTCAAGTCAGTATGAGAGTGATGAAGAGAGGATGCGCAGCAGCTATGAGGGAGAGTGGAGAATGAATGAGAGTTGGGGTTTAGGGTTACCTCATCTCTTTTATATAGGAGGGAATACTTACTTGAAGTACCCGAAATGCCCCGGCCGACTTACGTAAAGGGTCCAAAATGCCCCGGTCGGTTCGTCTCCTCTTGCTGCTGAGTCATCACAAGATTCCCCTTTATGCCTTGAAGAATGTAGAGCTTTAAGTATGCTGCAAGTGTGACAAGTCGTCATCACGTCTTTGGTCTTCGAGGTATAAAGAGTCGACCTCGAGTGCTAGGAGGTCGACTCATGTTAGTATGAGGATTCGGAGGCTACGCTTGGTCAGTTCAATATGATGGGAGTCGACTTCAGAGAATTGACTTAGTGAAGTCGACTTCTGGGAGTTGACTTAGGGCTATCTGAATGCTTGGAGGCTACGCTCTTGCTGTTCTTCTTAGATAGATGTCGACTATTGTAAGTCGACAGACTGAGGTCGACCTCTGAGAGTCGACTGGCATGGTTTTCGCCTTCTCTTCGTGGTCGTTCTACGAAGGGTCGACTTTGGGGAAGTCGATTTGGATATGTTGATGGGAACATATCGTCATGTGGACAGTCTGAGTTGTTACCTGGTCGAGTAGAGAGTTCTAGAGCCGGTATATGATAATATGGCTATATCACCCGAGAAAAAAAATTATGTTTTCTGCAAGGAGTTTTGGGCCCCATCTAGGCTCACCCTGCTTTGGTGCGCTTCACTACTCATGTTTCTTCGGGGGAACAATTTGCTGACATCTTCACCAAGGCGCTTGGGAAGCGTGAATTCGATTTCTTTCTTGACAAGTTGAGCATTCGATATCTGCATGCTCCAACTTGAGGGGGTGTTATTGTGTATAATTGTGTAGTTACTGTATTAGCCTTAGGTTATCTTTGAGTATGGATAGCCCTAATTTGGTGCATATATACTTAGTTAATAGAGAGTTTTTGGATCATCCGATTGAGATGATTTTCACCCCAAACTTTGTGTCGTCTCTTTCGTATCAGTATGTGCGAAATTGTCCTTATATGACTAGCTACATATATTGATATATTGTCCGAGTTCCCTATATACTGAGCTATAGATATTAACATATTTGAAACTTCTATTACTTCTACACCTACCGACCTAACTAATCCTCGATATATAAACTGAGCTAACCACGATTGATTTTACCAAGCTATTCTTATATGCTATATCAGTCTGAGTCCAAGCTAGAGAGCAAATACGTATCAAAGATGAGAAATAAACTACTATATAACAGCTGAAAAGATATATCATTTTTTATACACGCACGTTCCGACCAAATGTGAGACAGACGACATATGATCTTCCCCACATTAATTGGAAGCTTCAATCCGACACAAAAGAAACGTTTAAAATGTAGTAAAATAAGCACTAAACAAAAACCCAGCACCTCTAAACAATAGAATTATGGGCAGAGACCTGGCTTTAAATCGGCTTTCACACTAGGATATAAATAATAATGTGAAATTATCCATATGTACATCTCGGACTCCGCCCAGCTGTATTAATGCACAAAGCAACACATAACAACAAACAATTGACATCCTACGACTATATCTAACGAAAAAAAGAAAAGATCACAAGGTTTTTTTTTTTTTTCTTCTTCACAAAAACTACATAAAAACGTTTATGGAAAATGGTCAACTACTTTCTACTAACAAAACTTGCCAAAACCCACATCACGAAGAAACATCCCTACTACGTCTACATAAATACCCCAATTTACATTTTGCCATCCA